TATATACACGATGTAATTGACTTGTTTTGTAAATAATGATACTAACAATAGTAATGATAATAATAACAATAATTTCAAGATATTCAACGAAATATCATTATTCTACAAATAACCAGTTCTACATTCGATGGCTTTATTTCTTAGTTCGTTAACGTCGAACAAACAGCGGTTGCTGAACTGTTTTATTATTAATTAAGTTTTACTCTGTTCATTTCTTGCTATTTTTTGCTTCAGTGCAATATCTATCTATTCGATAAATGGTTGTGTTCAACCTTTTAAGAGTAGGAACAACAATAATAGCGGTGTCATTATTATTATTTGTTCCTTGTTTTTGTTTACGTTCATTTGTTGTTTACAATGATCATTTATTTCCGTCGCCATTATCTTGGCTCCTGTTATTCTACTAAATCTTTGTGTTGTTCTGGACGCTTGGGTCACTTCACCAATCATCAGTTTTAAAGCCCTCCATAAATCTATCGCCCTCAGCCTCTTGAAAATGAGCATATTTTGTTGTCTTCGTCTTTCTACATAGACTTTATTAGTTGGGGAAATTTTTTTGTGTTATGCGAGCGCTGTAAACGAAATGTTTTTCATATTGGAATTCATCGATTGAATGACTGATTGATTGAACAACTAAATTTTCGTTTAGAGAATTGTTTTGAATATGAGATGTTTGTTATGCAAGGAGAGTGAAATTGTGATGACGTTGATTACCGATTAATGATTGACTGAGACCATTCATTTAGATTGCGATCTTTTGAGACACAGATTCCGTTCATCTGTTTCGTTATCAAGGAGAATAAAGGTGGACGGAATAGATGGAGGAATGTATCGGGAGATTTTATTGATAGTATTAGATGGATTGATATTTTAAATAGGGAAAGTTGAGTGGATGAAATGCTGATATGTGTTTATTCGTACATTATCTTGTTGCTTGATCGAGATTTGCACTAGAAAATACATTCATATCCTTCATGAGCAATTTCAGGTTTTTAATATCATTATTATTGTTGTTATTATTGTTCCCTGAAATGTAAAAATTCGGTTCCCTGAAATGTAAAAAATTTGTTTGAAACGTTATGGATTAGGAGCGGTGCCTCGCTGTCACTTCCGTCCATGCATTATTCATTCATCTAACAATAAGCATCATATTGAACAGTGTCTCGTATAGAATTCAGTCCTGAACAATTTGTTCATTACTGTTTGTTCATTGCCGACAGTTTTTGTTGGTATTGCTGTTTTTTGACTTGATTTTATTTTATTTAAAAGAATTAACGCAATAATAATGTCTGTTTCATTTTGATTTGACGTTGTGTTTGGTTTTCAGCTGGATGATTATATAATTGATGAGATTCTTTCATTGGAAGACGATCAAATGGCCCTGCGGGACGTGGGAGGAGGTAGCACCAAAACGCAACCGGTCAGTCCTTTATGTCTCCATTTGTTCATTTGCTTTTGTTTGTTCTTTATTATTATTATTATTATTATTATTATTATTATTATCGTAGTTATTATTTTTATTATGATGTTACCAACTATTGATTCTGTTATTGTTTCATATTTTGTAATATTATGGATGACATGAGTATTTTCATTTATTAAGTATCTTAATCACGTATATATCAAGAAAATGAGTTTATATGATGATGCTGTCGTATGTTTAAGAGTTACATGTGCATTTACGAAATTGTTGTAATCATTATCGTAATGAAAATCTTCGTAGGAGCACTGGGCAAATGAAAAGAATGTGTTTTTGTGGATGTTATCGTTGAATCTAGTTGTTGTTTTTGTTATTGTTATTCAGAGTTGACATTGGGATGGAACGTAATGAAAATGGGTACGTATTTTCGTGAACGAGAAGAGAATATAAAAAATATACCTAGCCGAACAGAGAACCGATATAAGTAGCATTTAGCTGAAATCGGTGTTCGTTCATTCATTATTCATGTTGTTCTTCATCTTTTCATCATTTGTGTTGTGAAATAACGCCAGAGAAGAAGCAAAATGGAAAGAGTTGAAGTGTCAACAAGCAAGGAGGCAACCTGGCCGTCTTTGAGTTCAAGTGATTAATCGATAAATGAAAGCATAGGTTGATGGGCAAATTGATGAACTATTTAATAATGATTGCTTGATAGATGTTGACTTCTGAAAGGTTTGAGAGAACAAGGAAAGAGGTTCAAGGGATGATATCCATGCATTCCAACTACTGATTGTTTGATGGAATAATTTACGTGTGAATCAAATTTTTTGTTCGGTTCCTTTTTTGTTATTGTGAACGTTCGTTTTCACTCTTTGGTTTGATAAGTTAATGAATTAATTTGTCAGCTGTGATCATTCCTTATAATGAGGTAGTTAGGTAGCAGAGCATTTGATTAAATGTCCAGTACAAAATTAATTAGTGAGTCAGCGAGGTTCATGGGTAGCTTAAAGCTTTGTAATTTGATGTACGTAAATACAATGGATTATTAGTTTTTAAGTCAGTTAAGGATTCAGCCCAATTTTTTGGAGATGATATGAGATATAAAATCATGCAAGAAAACTGTTTTTGCACAAGATCGCAACGAAATTTTTGTTATCGTCAGCAGATGGGAATGTGTGTTAAAAGATAATAACAGAGTAATGATGATGGTAAAATGTTAATGATAACAATGGTAATAGTAGTAGTAGTGTAATAATAATGTAATCGAGACGAAGAATGGACGAATGGATAAAAAATGATGGTTAAAAATAATTTTGCAACAGATTCACTATTTGGGTGTATATATGTGTCGTTTCATTGTTGTTGTTAAGGAGTTACTGAATTTAAGAACGAATATTTGACGGTTGAATTGCTATTGCTTTGAGCCAAATTGAAGTGTTGTATTTACAAAATCAGAATGTAAGCGAATGAGCGAATGAAAACAAAATAATAACAGTTTCAGTTGCCAGTTAGCTACAGTTGTGCGGATAACCTGACAACCTTATCGTCACCGCATCATGCCTCGTCTGCGTCCAACGGGCGACCCATTCCTGGAACGGCTAGTTCAGGTTGCTTGTGTGTCGAAATATCTCACTTTGCTATTGAAATGCCGAATTTAAACTGAACTCACTCTTTTTGGTTATCTAGCATGAATTTTTTGCACGAGATTGATTGATTGTTTAACCTCAGGCGGTTCCGGCCATAGTGGTTCTCCAATTGGTGCAATACCAATTACGTCGTCAACTTATCGACAGATCGTTTCATCAAGTGCTCCGACGAGTAGTATGGATATGGAGACACTGGTTAGGGGCTCGAGTCAAGAGATGGGTAATGAGCAAGAGTTTTATCGAGATCGCAGAAAGAAGGATATCCATAATATGATTGAACGACGACGACGTTATAATATCAATGATCGTATCAAGGAGCTCGGTTTAATGTTACCGAAGCATTCGGCTGAAGAGATGAAACTGAATAAGGGTACCATTCTGAAAGCGTCTTGTGATTATATTCGGCAACTGCAAAAGGATCGTGAATTGATGCTCCGACAACAGCAGCAACAAGCGCGTCTCGAGCAAGCTGCTAGGATTTATGCTGAACGTATTAAGGTGTGTTGACAGAATTTAGTTGCGAAACGTAGGAAAGGAAGCAGTAGAGAAATTAGTCTGCTTAAGTACTGCTATTTATAAATATAGCTTTCTTACCAAGAAATGTCAGGAGACTTGAAGAATGTGTGCATGGTTTAAACTTTCAGGAATTAGAAGAACAGTTACAAAAGAACGGTTTGGCTGTGCCACCTGCCTCGACAAGTCTCCCGCCTGTACCGCCTCTGTCAATACCGCTAGCCTCAAGACCTATCAAGCAAGAACCATTCGACGATGTGCCATCTTCACCCTCTCAAACCCCTACCGGCAGTCTTGTTCGTTTACCACTTCATTCTTTGAAAATCTCTTCTAAATGTTTATTCATATTCATTTATTAATCATGATTTTTTATTATTATTGTTGTTGTTTGGTTTAAATTTTGAGTTCATTCACCTGTCTTGTTCCAGTCATCTGCTGGTTTTATGTCACAGTTGTCTGATACGACTGCAGCGATGGTTATAACTAGTCCAGTTAGTGTACAAACCCAACAAGATGGCAATTTCTTCAAGTTCGTCTGTTTCGATCGTTATCGCTCTTCCTACTGAATTATTCTTAATTCGTGGTTGATGTGATATTGGGTGTTGATGTACTTGTAACTTAATAGATCATTTTTAGCGTTGGTAGCTGTAGTCCATCGGAAAATTCGCCGTATGCGACACCAAATTGGCGAAATAGTAATTTATCGTCGTTATCAGCGAGAAGCAATCCAAACAATAATACAGCAACAAATCAACAACCATTCTCAGATCTCATCATGGAGGATCTTAGTTCGTTGCATACCACTGGACCACTTTTGCAGGTTGTTAAACACAGATTGAGTAACAGATGTTGATTTTTTACAGATAATACTTGAAATATGATCTTGTATGTGCATAGCTTTGATCATTATTGTTAATGCATCATTATGCATACACTGCATTGTATCATTCGGTATTTAATTCTAATTTTATCGACGTATAAGCATATTGTTTTGAAAAGTAGTGGTTCATTGGAATGACCTTCACTGAAGAAATCATGCAATCAATTGGCAACTCGTAGTTTCGTGCATACGAATTGTAAACGATTAGATTTGATTTGGTTGTTTCAGGGTGATCCAATGATTTCTGCGGCCGGTGGTGGTCCATCACCGCATAGCTCGGTGATACCTAGTCAAATGTCGCCGGATATTCAATGGGATCAAGCCAATTTCTCACCTGATAATCAAGCAAGCACGACACATCCCACACCTAGTGTTAGTGTTTACCAGCAACACTCCAGTATGGATTTCTCGTGAATGCGTCTCTTCGTTGTCAGTTCTTCTTTCTGTAAGCCATCCTCAAACAACAGCACTCAAAACTGTTTGTTGCACATGATTGTTATCATTTTTTCTCGCATTAATAATACATTTTCTGTTTGAATTTTATTACAATTGTTAATGCTTTTGATATTGTCGCAAACGTCATTCAACTGTTCACTGTTTTTGTCACAAACGAAGATTAAAATTTCTGTTCAGGATTCTTTTCCAGCAGTCCGGTCAACAACTGTTTTGTTTTCATTCTGTTTCCACAAAATATTCTCAATATAATAACTATTAGTGTTGCTTATTCGTGTAAAGTTTCCAACATGATATCGTGCGTTCATTTAATATACATTACTAATTTTCCCATTATCATTGTTTTTATTGCCAGAAATTGTCACGTTTTCGTCAATCCGTCAAGGAAGACTGAGTTTACAATTGTTTATCAGCTAATGAGCGATTACTTCCGATTCTAACGTGCACGTATTCGTGTGTTAAATAAACCCTTAGCACCCTGGGTGGTCTGATGGTATACCTTTGTTATCATCAACATTATTATCATCATCGAGATTTGATAATTATGATAATTAGAATAAGATTATAGAGTAATGATACCCTACTTGGCGGTGATGTGTCCCGTTACGTTTTGTAGGGTGTTTGTTAGTCGCTGAAAAAAATATGTGTCCTTTAGACATCATTCTTTTTTTCTTGCAACATAGCGACGAAATTACACTGAATGTGTTTTGGTATTTGGATATGAAAATGATAAAAATCATGGTGGATGCTTTACTAGCATCAGTTTCGCTTTTGTCTATCTTTTTGTGTGCTGCTACTGCTGTCATTTGTCGGACACATTTCAAATTAAAGATTTCATTGTTATTATTTGTAGATTTATTTATTATTCATATCGGTATTTGGTGATAGTTATTGCCATTATTACACCATACCATATTGATTGAATCGACGACAAAAATTGAACTGTTTTTTGAAAGAGTTTTCGTGAACCGCGTTCTCTTGAATGCTTATTGTAAATATGCCTTTCAAAATATTTTTTTGCTTTTTAACATCTCTATTCTGAAACAACTCTTTAGATTAATTGTTTCCACGAAACGTTCATCTCACATGTATTGCGGCAGTTCTCGAATTACTATTTTACCCGAAGCCATTAGAAATGCTTTCGTTCGTTGTTATCTTGTCCCAACTACATATTCACGTAAGCTTCGTTATCCCTGAATCAGTGTTTGTCTTGTTTGTTGTTACTTTCTACGAATAGCATGTGTGTTCATCTTTTTTGATGTCTACAAGCTATAATTACTGAATCGAGATGAAAATTGTTATTGTGAAATGTAATTCTAGGAGAGTTATATTGTAATGACGAAAAACTTGTACATATATCTAAATATATATATATATATATATATATAAATATACCTATGTGTATAAATACATGCATGTTGAATTCTTGTATGATGTACAGAATTTATGACTGTTATCAAAATTAGTGTAGTAGGATATATCACCGTACTTCCTCAAATGATTCCCTTCTTAGCTTGATGGATTTTCAATTCCTTGAATGAATATTTTTAGGTCAGAAATTTTTTTCACCGCGAGTGTCTTGTCCCTGATACGTACATATCGTTTGAACTCGCTTCCATAAAATGAAATTTTGTTCACTTATTCGTGCGTTCAGTACATTGGTAAAGCCGTCATTTTTTTTCCGACAATGCGTTTGAAGTCCTTTCAAAACTGAGTACCAATTTGAATGAAATACGGATTCAGTTATGAGTAACACGTTTTTTGCGCGTTTGTTTATCTTTTTTACCCCTCAAAAATTCTGTGAAATGTATTTCATATCTCGACCCGTCTTAATGTATCCTATTTTCCATGAAAAACCGGAAAATTCATATCCGGTTCTCTGGGTTCTTAGGCAAGCTCAAGGAAATGCGGTAAACATGTTTTTTTGTAATATGATGATTATTCATAACATCGTTGTTGTTGTTGTTGTAAATAAAATTGAACTGCATATTACTATGTAGTCGTTAATATTGCAATTCATACTTTCATTATTATTACTACTTCCGTTGTGAACGGAAACACAATAGCGTAATTAATGTCGTGCTAGTTCTGTTTGTATCTTTTTGAAAAAGTGGTTGACAGTTAATCGATCAATTCAGTAAGTAGGTAGGTATGTCCTCTCGTTGGATTTATCACATCCACTTTCTCAATCGTTTTCACGTTTCGCTTTCCACAAATCGTTTCGCTGCGGTGTCATTACATTACTGTTGTTTTTGGTTCTTTTCCTAATTTCGTAAATTGGTTCGATTTTCCTTTTCAAATCTTTGTATTCGATATGTATACATTCTCGGATGGTTGTTACTGCCGGTGCGGACTCAACCATTTGTTTTGTAATATAGCATGTATATGACGTAACCACGGAGATAAAAATTTCTTATTATCGACACACCGATCAACTGCACTGTGGTGAGTGATTATTTGGGACGATGCTCAGATGGTGAGTTCATTAATTCATTTACGTTTGCTGTCATAGGTTCTTGTTTCGATTAGATTTGTCGTGAAGCTGGCTTATGTGCGTCAAGAATTGATTGCTTGATGAGTAATTCTTTATGACAGTTCCGTGGACATACACAAGGAATGGAAGCACACATTATATATGTGGTTGTAATATGAGTTCAACTGCAAATTGAAATCAGTCATTATATTTCTCACGTTTGGAAGCTCCATTACACTCTTTGGCCTAGTATGCCGTCACTACTCCCGCCCCGCCGCCCCACTGCAAGAATTTGTTATTTCTATGTATCGGCCCAAGTCAAAAATCGGCCCGGAAATATTCTAGTGGCGTGAAAGAAATAAATTTTTTGGAATGTACTTTTGGAACGTTGTTTAGAATATGAATCTCAGCAAGTAACAACGAAAAGCAATGGAAAAACAATGAAAAAAAAACAGCAATTAAAAGATTGAAATCAGTCAGCTAATTCATTAAAGACGAAGATGCAATGAACATTTGAGAAATTATCTTCCAAGTTAACGGAAAGGAGGTCGTTCCATTGAAGTGATCGTTAAGGAATAAGTTATAATGGTTTTCGAGATACGACAAGTGCACAAAGCCTGCCATTTTATACTCTCATTCTACTTCGGTGATCATTCCTTATGTAAAGATTTTGAGAATTTCATTGAAAAAGCATGTGAGAAACACTTTCAATAATTCCAGTCATTAATATCATTAAAAGTGTGATTTATCAGGGAAGAAATATTATAGTATATCGGTTGTAAATGCATTCATGAGCACTTGAAGGAATTGAAATTATCGAAAATTGAAAAAAGAAATTGATATCATCAAATGCAAGTATTGCAGAAAACACGTAATCAGTCATCTAAACCCCTTGAAAAACTGTTCTGAATCCGATGAATTTAACATTCAATGTGGGTGTGGTGAATAAGACGCTAATGTAGCGATTTAGACGCTAAATATTGCGATTCAATCCTATACAAGATGTATCCAGTATTATTCAACGGGACAAAAGGCGCAAACTGTAGCGATTCAGAGGAGAGTTGTGTGTGCGGGTATAGGGAGTGGAGTTCGGATGTAAGTAATTGTTCCAATGTCAAGATTAGAATAAAAAGTGGGATCGTTGTCGTTATACGTATTATAAAATGAACGGTAACAGCAAACTTGATCGATAATGATAATAATAATAATAAGAGATAAGGCGAGGGTGCGACAGTTGCGGGATATGGTTTGAGCTGGTTGACGTCTTATCGTTGATGTCTGAATAACCTTATTGGCCGTCTCGGTTATTATCTTGACTTAGTATTGAATTATTTCGGACATCCGGTGAACCCCGATTTTGTGCTCAAATAGCGTGCCACAGTTAAGTCGTTGATACAATAAATTAATCAGGTGCGGACTTTGGGATCGTTGAATTTGGCCACTATACTAACATATAATCGTACAAGTCGAGGACAGAACAGAGATGTGTTTGGAAAGAGAGGATGAAGACAACAACGACTTTTCGATTGATTTAGACAACGAAACGCTAAACGAAGAGCAAATTCTAAGCACAACACTAAGTCAAATGTTTGGAAAAAACGATCAATTGATAAACACGGATAAATACAATGCCGTATATATTAAACTGAATAGTAAAATAAAATGAATTTGTGTGCATAAAAATAAAACATCTGCGTATATCTGTTGCATGAGAAGCATTTGTTGATATACAGAGATATACGATAAATAGGCACTCAAACAAAAGATATTGATAAGAGAAAGATATCATGTTACAGTAATAATAATTTCGCTTTGTTATTTTGCTCGTTCTCCAGATGTTCGCCATGTTAATAATTGTTATTTAATGTTATTTATTGCCTATTTAATGTTATTTATTGTTATTCATTGCTATTTATTGTTATTTAATGTTATTTATTGTTATTTATTGTTTATTTAA